TTTGGTTGGCATCTGTAATCGAAACATGCACAATATGAGAGTTTTTGCTCTTTATCTCAATGAGAGCTACTTGCTTATGCTGGCTGGGTGGCAGTCATTTTGCTGAACCTTGGTGTGTGTGTCCCTTTATTTTCCCATTTGCTTGCAGAACCCCTACAGTCCTTTCCAAAATCCTTTTATACGAGATCTCTGCTAATTGACCTATAACAAATCTATCTAGTTAGTTTATAGCTATAAATTCTAAATTTGTAAGAAATTATTGTAACAAATTGGTTAAAGTTGTGTTTGAGTGCATTCTGATTTTGTAAGATGTTTGTCAGTCTGCCTGTGTATCTGCTGTCTGTTTGTCCTGTCTGTTTGTGAGCATTCATTGGGAGTCAAATAAACTGGTGATCATGTACACCTGTGGACCCAGGGGTGCAGCCCATGCAGGGGTGCCCAAGTGGTGTGGAGTACCTGGGAGGCAGCCTCAGGGGGACATGACGTGCTGGAGATGAGCAGGTGTTCCAGTCCCAAGAATGCAGGGTATGGGAGGTGAGCTAATTCAGTGGAGGAGTATGAAATAACCCCCTGGGAACTTGGGGAATTCTTGCGGATTCTCACAAGCTGTGTGCTTGTTTCTATATTTGTTTGAATTTGTACAGGTTGTCTATCAGATCATCTGTCTATGTTTGTCCATTTGTCCATTCTATAAACAGCTGTTCCTTTTATTTTTGAACCAACAGTTTTTCTCTTTTTTCCTTTTTCTTTTGCATTTGTGGATCATTTAATTAAAGGTTTGTTTAGGTTATAAATTTACAAAGCATGCTTCCACCTGGGTTACCAGCTGGTCTAAATGATGCAAGGACTGGGGATGTGAATGTAACGTGTGTTGTTGTTTACTATAGGCCTGAGAGTCTCTTATCACTTAAAAATTAATGGGTTAGATGTTATAATTGGAGTTTTCATAAGTCATCAAAAATTATTAAGATGAGTAAACAAAATCCCTTAGGATTGGGATTGTTGGACAGGCCTGAAATTGGTAAGTAAGAAAGCAGCGGCCCAGTAACATTTTTAACCAGTTCTTGTTTATTTATTGGAGGCCCCAGTGATCTCCATAGCCTTATGGGAGATACCCCAGCTAAAGTTATAAAATATATTATTGTTATGTGTTCACATTGGTTATCATAAGTTTCTTTTTATTTGAACATACCTATGCAAAGGTTACATATGGCTATGATAGACTCGTATTAACCTCATGGTACATTAAATGCATTCATGCCCCCAGATGTACAAGTCTTCCAAATTGTAAAATGGGAGTGGTTTGTTTCATAGATTTTTGTTTCATATTCAGACCTCTTCTGGTATCAATGACTTGTGAAATTCACATTCCACTAAAGGAAAATAAGTTGGATAGAAGCTTCTTATGTATTAGATAGGGGTGACTGACCAAAAGAGGTATTTTATGTCAAGATAGAAATTTGGGCTGTTATAAAAATGTCATAATTCTCAATGATACAATAATATGTACAGTTTTGATTCCTGATTTACTGTGTAAAATATGTAACTGTTAACAATCTATAGGTATTTAGATGTTAAAATATCCATGGATAGTTGAAAATAAGTTTCATTTAATGTTCATTTAAGGTGCTTCATGTTTAGATGAGATAGTAATGTCAAGCTTACTACCTCTAATATACTATATTGTTATCAGTGTTTTCTTCTGGATGTTCCACAACTGAGGTTTACAGGTTAAAAATTAGACAGATGGGCTAAGAGCATAGCCAATATTTTGGCCCTAGCCCTTCAAGGTCAATGAGGACCCAGGGCATAAAAGAACCTCTACTTGTGTCATCCTGAGATACTCAGTGAGTCCCTGGTCTTCTCATCAAGAAGATTATGAGATCAGAGAGGAAAGTGATCTTTGATGTATGGTGTGCCTAAGGAGAGTCACCAAGAGAAAATGTCTCCCTAACTTTCTTGGAAAACAACTTGGTCAAGCAATGGCTGTGATTCATCCTGGTGGTTGACACTGACTGAGGAGCCAGGAGGTGCTGTGCATGGTTCCAAGGTAATTCCTGAGGAGACCTAAGTGACCTTGATAGATAGTAAGGAACTGATTATATTTAATGCAGGTCTCATCTTAACTTGGTCGTGAACCTCCTGCAGAAAAGTGTAACTTCAGAAGGTGTGGTGTGGTGTAATACCATAGTGAAATATTAGCTATCAAAGAAGCTCAAATCACTCACACCTTCTGACAATTGCTGGCTATCGTGCTAACTGACTACTGTTACAGATTAATGGGCTGTACAGGTTTTAAGTTGTGGGAGTTCTAACACAGCTTCTCCAGCTTCTGCTGACCATGCGTCCTGTGCAACAACAAAACAAAAGAGAGGAATGTGTTGGAGCTGTTGAAGCTGAATACACGTGCCCCTGCATAGCTGAACTGAGAATGAGGAGATGCCTCAGGGGGTGAGATAGGCCACAGCTGAAGACACCTGGAGACTTTCTCCTAGGATAGCTCTCCTTAATTAACACTGTCTGTTGCTTGGAGGGGTCCTTGAACTCCTCCCAAGGTCCTGCTCAGGTTTCCTGCATTGTTTGAATACTAAATAAACACAAGCCACCCAGAGGCACTGTGTGTCTCAGTTGCCAGAGTTAAGAACTCTGCAGAGGGCTTTGGTCCTCCTGGAGCCCTAAAGATCATACCACTTGTCTCATTCACTTAGGCCTTTGCTGTGCACCCATTTGGGAGCTTGGGGATCTGGGCATAGACCCCAATGGATTGTCTTAAAAGCACTTGACCTTATGATATTTTCAATTTATGGTAGGTTTATTGAGTTATAATTCTATTTTAAATTGGCAAGCATCTGTAATTGAAATATTAATCCAAGTTGACTGTTTTTAACTGAAGCATCTATCCAATTCTATTTGACAGAAATATTCCATTTTGTTGGGTGTGTGGCTCATGCCTGCACTCGATCCTAGCACTTGAGAGGCTGAGACAGGACACCAGCGTGGACTACAAAGTGAGCTCAAGACCAGCATGAACTGAACTGCATAGTGAGACCCTGTCTCAAAAAAAAGACAAAAAAATTCCATATTACAGATTGTTTTCAATAAATATCACCAGTTCTATGTTCTTGCCTTCTTTAAATTTACTTGGTTTTTATAGTATGCTTTTAACTATTATTAATTTACATATTATGATTCTAACTTTTAATCTCTGCCATAAAAATTACAGCATGTACAATTAACTTACTGAAGTCTTTAGTAAGTCTCCTTTTTCATATTACATAGATATTAGGAAATGTAAATCTTTTTACTTCTCTTTGTACTTAGCTTATTTATTGTTAGGAATTCTGAAACTATCTTTTGACTTATTCTTTGGGTAATAAGTTTCCCTATTTATTTGCTTCAAAATATCTTCATGGTTCTTAATTTGAGCTTCCATAGCAAATATGGATTATAAGCTCTGTTAAAGGTAGTACTTTCTTCTGCTCTACATGGTTACTACTGTTAATTCAGCTGTCCATTACACTGCTTTTCTCATGAGGATGATCTGTCTTTTATCTCTGGTAGCTGCTCAGTTTTTCTCCTTGCCTTTGGTTTTCTTTGACTTAACTTGATGCAAATTCAACGTGAGGATACTGTTCTACGAAACTTCCCATCTGGGGCATAGCAAGAGCCTAAACTCTTGTTTCCAGGGCCACACCCAAGACTACAAAACCAAAACTCACATTTTCAATATGAGCAAATGACCTCTGGGAACTTTGCCATTTCACCTTAGATCGTCTGCCTAACACTCTGGGTTCATACTTCCCCCAACTTGTGGCCTGTTTAGTTTCCATTTTACTTCCAGGTTTTCTATATTTTTTAGTGGAGACTTTTTTCCTATTCATTTTTTCAGAGGTTTTTTGAAAAATCATTTTCAGCCTGAGGCTTGATGAGAATGATCTAGCCTGTCGTAATCAAAGTAACAGTCACAACTCTACTGACATAGTGAGCGTTGGGGATCAGCGTTCTCCCATATTACCCTGGAATTGCCCACTCTTTTCCTTGTGAGAATTTTTAAAATTCAAGAACAGTATCATTTTTTTCTAAGCTTGAGGACTTCAGTAGAACCTTTCATTGTTTTTATATTAACACTTTAAGATCTAAATTTAGGTCAACCTTAGAGAAAGGAACATATAGATTCATCTGTAGCCTATGCTTGCAACACAAATCTACCCTTGCACCAATATCTGAAGGACAAGATGGTGTGAGCCAGATGAATGGAGATGATGTGGCTTCCATGAGGATGGTTTGAAATCATAAGGATGGGCTGGGGATTTAGCTCAGCGGCATAAGCACCTGCCTTGCAAGCATGTGGTTGTGAGTTCAATCCCTAGTACCAGTAAAAAAAAAAAAAGCTGACTTTATTGAAATCATAAGGACACTGCAATGTGAACCCCCTATGAGAGGTTTAGGGAAAGGAGAACCAAGAAGAGAAGACAGATGAATGAGTGCCAGGAAGGGCATGAAGGACTCCAAATGGGAGAGGAAGGAGGTGCTTGTTGTGTGCTGTTTAAAGCCAGGGAGTCATGAATTAATTTGAGCGAAGAAGAGCCTTGAGTTACCTACTTGGCTGCTAGACAGCCTCTCTGGGTCTCATGAGTGAAAAGAGGAAGGAAATGGAGAGGAAGAGATATGTTGGAGTGATTGACAGATGAAAGTGGGGTAAAAAGTTGACAGAAGACAGCAGATACCACATCATAAATCAAATCCCAGTTTTTGCTGGAGAACTTTGAAGAGTTCTGGGGAGGATAGAGATCTCAGTGTGCTAATTCTGTATTCTCTCCACCTCTTCACCCCAGGTCAGGAGGACACACCAGTGAGAGCTTTCTGATGAAGGGAGCACCAAGGTCATCCCCCCCACACAGGACCTCTTTTGGTTGACTTCCATGTATGCCTTTTAAAAAATGCTTATAACAACTTTTGGTGGGATACATGATCTCAGATTCACAGAATGGGGAATCAAGGCACACAAAAATGAATTGTTTAATAAAATGTATTAGAAAATCCTGGAATTAGGAGTTTGAGCCCAAGTCTGTCTAATCCCATGAGCTGTCCTTCTGGTCTACCTCGGGATGCTCTTAACAGTAGAGCTACACTATCACAAGAACTCTTCAGGCTCCAGTGGTTAGTCCCTGACTTTTCCTTTCCTCCAGACAGGTTGCATCTCCTCCTGCCAGGGTGTACCCCTGGGTGCATCTTCACTTGCTTGTCTTGATCTCCTCGTATTCTGCACCACTTATGGTCTCATAGTTGCGAATGTCTGGTGAATTCTCACAAGACTTCATCTTTGGAAAGTTGATAGAGGCATAATAGAGTTCCTGTTGTTCCTGGCTGGGCAAGGCATCGCCAACAGGGGGCTCTTGGGTTTGAATGTGGTCTGGCCAAGACTTCTGCTTGGAACTCTGAAGGGAGAGAAGGGCATCACAGAAGGAACACAGAGGCACACATGGTGTGAATTCTTATAAGCCAGTTCTTATACTTTATGTTGCCTCAGTGTCTGTTTTGAGTATAAGTTGGACTTTCTCATACTAGAAACAATGGCTGGTCACCTTTGACAGTTCTGGCTCTCCACTTCCTCTCAATCTCTCCAGTGATTACTCCGGGCATGTGCCTTGTAAACCACCTCTTGGTGCCCACTTTCCCACGGGACAGCTAGATACAACTTACTTGACTTACTCATATTAGTGACCCTTTGGCCACCACATCCCCAATACACTGCAGTATCTGCTTCTCAGTGACAGTGCAGCTCCACAGAATTCTACTGACTTGCTCCAAACCTACCCATTAGAGCTCCCTTAGGGAAACCTGCTTGGATAATTTGCTGGGCCCCAATAAAGACTTCGGCCTTCATGACCTCCCACTAGCCCACCTTCCCATTGGTTCTGTGAACTGTGTTGCCCTGTTCCCTCTGGGGTCTGTAGGTAATAAAACTGCTTCTGGTAATTCACATGGTCCACTGAGTTGCCTCCTCTGCATCTCACCTGACTGACACACCTAAACCTAACTTCATTCCTGGTTGGGGCTCTCGAAGAGAGTGACTAACTTGGTTGAAATGGGATGGACCCTGGGCAGATGAGACCACAGAGCATCTGGAAGCACAAGTAATTTTCCTGTGAGAGGAACCCCAGTCATGGTTTGAACATTTGGCATTGGGCTTCTACCAGGCTAAGGAAATACCCTGTGGAAGGCATGCTGCCCATGTCCTCAGTCACATCCCTTGGATCCTCATCAGGGCAGGGCTGGAGTTCATGGCCATTCTCTTTATGTGAGCCCTCCAGGCCAGGTTATAGGGGAATGCAACACATGGCTCCTGAGAAGACAGCTGATGGGCTGTTTGATCCTAGAATTTTTATTCTGTCAAATTAAACTTAAATGTAAGGACTTTAAATATTTTCAGACACATACGCCAATTCCCAGAAGCTTCAGTACAGGAGGGAAGGAAGGAAGAAGGGAAAAGGGAAGGAAAGGAGGAGGAGAGCGAGGGAGGGAGGGAGGGAGGAAGAGAGAGAACAGGAATTCCTAAAACATGTATGAGATATAATGATGATGAAACAGTTCAATAAAATGTGTAGCTGCATATTTAAAAGGACAATGAACAGAAAATCCTAATCATATTAGTGATAACCCAGAATGAGTTATCTACAGAGCTGTAGAAAATACCAGTATTTTAGAGGGTGGAAGAGAGAACAAGAGGGAAAAAAGAGATAGGAAGGTAAAAGCACACTAATGTTTTTTAAGACAGAGATTAGCTGGATATGGTACCCCACATTTGTAATCCCAGTACTCTGGGAGATTGAGGCAGGAGGTTTGTAAATTTGACCTTACTAGAGCAGTTCAAAAAAGGAAGAAGGCTGAGAGTATACCTCATTGCAAAGGCACTAGATTCAGTCCCTAATAATAATGATAATATACACACACAACAAAACCCGGAGATTGATTTTTAAGTAAAATAGAAGAAAAATGAAATACTGAAGAAGTAGAAACAAGTGATAGTAAAAAAATAACATAGCAGAAAGAAATCTGTATGCATCAAAAATCATAATAAATACTAATACCAATAGCACAAACTCCACAAAATATATCAAATTTTGTTCTTAAAAACCTGGTTATATACAGTTCAAAATATCACTGTTCAAGTCTTAAGTACAAAAAATTTTGGTGGGAAAAGATTTGAAAAATATCAGGCTGTAACCAGTCACAACTTGGTGTAACTATATTAAGATCTAATCCAACAAACTTTACCACAAAAGGCTAGAGAGGATTAGTATGTATGTTGAAATGTTCAATTCACTGAGAAGATTTAGTACTTCTAAAATTTCTAAAACTATGGTTTTAATTTTAAAGCACATGAAATATAAGAAAAACATCTGATGGAATTAAAGAAAAAATGGCAAACATATCAGCATAATGTAAGATTTCAACACATATCTCTAATAGTCCTCACAGGGCAAGAAGTCCTGTCATTCAAATTTTGGATTTCAGCACTGAAATGAACATACTGGTCTGGTAATCTTATCCAGTGTGTAGCTAATAATCTATGCCTCACTGTCAAGTACACAGGAAGCATCATAGCCCACATATCAAGGCACAGAAAAATTTTAAAAGTTGTCATGAAAGCCTTGTATTTTTACCAGTCAGCATCTATCTAGAATCTTTCATGGAAAGCTGTTTACCCTGTATATTAGGGACTTTTGAATTCCAAATAATCTAAGATTCAAAGCGGAAGTCTCCAGTAGGTTTTAACAATATCCAGATGTGAATGCCATTGATCAAAACTGTGGAATGAGAAAGCCCAAGCTGTATCTTGGTGGTAGAGGGCTTGCATAGCATGCACAAGGCCCTGGGTTTAGCTTCCAGCACAAGGAGACAAACTTTTGAAATGGAGCTAAGGTGGTATTCTGAGACAAATGTATCCATAATTACTTTCACAAAAAGGAAGACTATAAATTAATAAAAAGCTGAATATTTAGTTTTTAAAAGTTTGTAAGAATTAGTCCAAGCAGAAGATGATGAGAAAACACAAATAAAAACAAGTACAATAGAAAACAAAGTTACAGTAAAATAATCAACATTCCTAAAAGTTGATTCTTTGAAGCAGATACTGAAACAGACAATTAACAAGATTTAGCTAGAAAAAAGAAGGAAGTCACTAATAACTGATGTCAGGAACATGAAAGGAGAAGTAACCTCAACTAAAATAGTACAAAGAACAGAGAATATCACTCATGACTTTCTGGTAAAAAATTAGAAAACAAGTGAAATGAACAAATCCTTAAGAAAAAGCTCACAGAACCTACAAAATGATTGCAGTAGAATATTGCACATAAAACAACACTATGCCCCGATAGTTTTACAAGTGATAGCTATCAGTCATTCAAGAAACAAGCCATTCCAATTTTATAGATGCTTTCCCAGATAATAGCAAAATGATAAATAATCTGTAGTTTCTTGATTTTTTTTTTTTGGTACTGAGAATTGAACTTATGACCTTGCACTTGCCAGATAGGAACTTATGCCGTTGAGGTTCCTTGATATTATCTTGATACCCAAAGTTAACAGAAAAAAGGAAAAGGACAGACTCATGGATATAGATGTAAAATCGTTAAGCAAAAGATTATCAAATTGAATCTACCAGAGTATCAAAAATATATATACCATGGATACTTTGGCTCTACCAGGAAGCCTAGAATGGTTTTATCATGGAAGAGATAAAGATTAAAAAATCCTATCAGATATGAGTATGATCATGCTCATAAAATGAAATAAATAAATATGAATAAATATCACATTGTCTCCCCGGTATGAGAAATTGAAAGTAAATAACGTCCAAAATGTACAATGCATATTGTGAAATGGGAAGAAATTATTCAAAAGGAAAGAGGAACTAGGGTGTGCGAAAGGGGAAAAGAAGGAAGAAAAAAGGGAAAAAACTTCAATAATAGTTGTATCATTAGCTTCTCTTAGTTTATTGAAAAGGTTTGTGTTAATATTCTGAGAGTTTTTATGTCCATATCTTGTACTCTGAGTACTTTGAAGATAACAATATTCAATGTGTTAACTGTTGTTATTCTCCTATTTTGTTTTGAAATTTTATTTTATTTTTTCCATAAAATAAAATTTTAAAAAATATTTTTTCTATCATAGAAAAAAATTTTTTCTATCATAGAAAAAATATTTTTCTATCATAGAAAAAATACTATCAGATTCATTTGAAAAGTTCAACCTAAATTTATGATAAAAACTTTAAGTGATTTAATGATAGAAAGGAACTACTTTAAGGTAATGAAGGTGAACAAAAAACAAACACAAAAATTTAATTGGTAGGATGAGTGCTTTTCCTTCAAAACTGGACAAGTAAAAGATATCCATGGCCACATTTTTACATGAGTTTGACTAGAATCTCGGCCCGAATATTAGAACAAGAAAAAGGAATAGTGTACATAGACTATAAAAAGGGAAGAAATTGTTACAATTTTTCAGAGATATAATCATCAATTTTGAAATTTCAAGAGTCTAAATAATTCCCAAGACCAAGATCTGGTGACATTTAAAATTATTAAAAATACTTCAATATCTGCATACACATTATTTTGAAAGAGAATTTAGCATATTGTATGGAAAGATCAATTTAAAATATAATTTGAGCCAGGCATGGTGGCTCACGCCTGTAATTCCAGCACTCGGGAGACAGAAGCAGGAGAATCATTGTGAGTTTGAGATGAGCCTGGGCTACAAAATGAGCTCAAGACCAACATGAAATGCATAGTGAGATCCTGTCCCAAAAAATCACTGTATCTGTATCCATATCTATATCTTGAGTTTCATTTGTTGTATCTGAGAGAATAAAGGTGATTCTCAGAAATCGATGATTGACAACCCCAGCAGCGGTGGTGTCACAATGGAGAGGGCACAGGTTACTATAAATGCCCTGGACAGGCAACCTGACCACAGTGGCGGAAAGGCACAGTGAAGCGCTGTGTTGAAAGGAACACAACCGCCTGCTGTTGAAAGGATCTGGAGCCGGGTGCTCCAGCCTGAGGTGTTGCATGGACTTCTGTGGCTGTAAAAGGCACACTCTATGCATGTCCTCACTTCTCACCAAAGCGAGTATTCAGCGGAGTGGGTCCTTTGTAGAAATCTGACACCTCTTACGGGAAAGACACCACAGGACCTGAATGAGGCTGGATATTTTTTGCCCAGTGCTTGAAGCTCAAAAGATGTTAGGAAGAAAAGTAAAAATTTGAAAGATGCGTGTAAAGAAATTCTGTGACTTTCTTGTAGACACTGAAAAAGTCTAAGACAAATAGAAATCTATTTTCATGAGTAAGAAGACTTCAATTTATAATGAGCAGATTCTTCCCAAAGTGAGCTATTGACTCAATATGAATGTAATAAAACTGACAGGAATTTTTTTGGAATTTGCCAAAATGATTCTGATTGATGGATTGACAAGAGGCCAAGAATAGCCAAGGCTCTATTGAAGGAGACCTACAGTGGGTCTTGCCTCATTAGATATCAGACCCTTTAAGAAAGTTTATAGACTGTCATATCTATAGACAGTTTGGACTCAAAGAAAGTAAAATTGGCCATTGGAGGAGAATGCCATTCTCTCACACAGAGAGAATGTCAGTAGATGAGAGGAGTCTTAGCTGATCACTGGAGGAGGGCGAGGGGCTCATCAAAAAAATGAAGGAGCAATGGATGAATCAACACTGCACTTGACACCCAGGCACCAATGCCAGGTTGATGAAGTGCTTAAATATAAAAAGTAAAATATAAACATTTTGGTAGAAACTACACTGGAATATACTCCTAAGTTTAGAATGGGAAAACTATTCTCACACGAGTTCCTAAAGATGCTTAATAGAAAAATGGAAATTGAAAAGGAAGATAATAGGAAGTAAGGAAGTAGGTCTTTCTCAGATTGGAAGGGCTCAGGAGAGAGGAAAAGGAGAGAAAAGGGAGGGAAGGGGGTTGGAAAAGGAATGAAGATGAGTTATGTACGTGCACCAACTCCCCACAAGGACTGTACACAGTGTAAACTGCAAGCATGCACTGACGAAATGACGAAAAATACAATAAAATTTTAAAAAGAAAAAAATAAAAATAAGTGAGTATAACAATTAAGAATTTATGCTCATGGAAGGTCGCCTCATGGAAAGTGAAAACAATCTATTCACTGTAAAAAGAAATTTACATTATACATGAGAAAAATATTAATATAAAATATATAAAGCCTTCCAATAAATTCAACATGAAAAAGACCAAACACCTAACAGTAAAATGGGCTGCAGGGGTGACCAGCCATTGTGTAGGGGAAGTGTGAGAGTGCGTGGGAAATGTAGAGAGATTTTTCATTCTCATGAAAACCAAGGAAATGCAAATACACACCAGAATGAGAACTTGAGATGCCAAAAAGATTGACCTGACTGATAAAACCTGCTCTCGGAAAGATTATGAATCACCAGGAAATCACAAGCACAGACAGGAGCTTGAATAGATATAACTGATCTTATGAAGATGGACATTTATATAACTGACCCAGCAAGTAAATTCTAGGATAATGTTAAAGAAAAACTCTTGAAATCTGGAAGCAACCTAAAAATCTATTGGGGTGAGCTTAGATAACAAACCGTGGTCATAAAGTAAAACGCACAATGGGTAAATGAGTAGCCTGAAATTTTGTGTAATAATATTTCTGAATCTTCACGTTATAACATTTAGCCAATAAAGTAAATTTAAGAAGTGCACAGCTCATGATGCCCTTTTATGGCTTCAGAAGCAATTAAAGCTAAGCAGCATCAACATTAAGAAAAGACTCAGAATGCTGCTTACTGGAGATGAACCAAGAAGCAACACAGATGGATCTAAAATGTAAGTAATTACCAGTTTTGGGTCTTAGATTTGATGGTGGACTGGAAGTAGTTGTTTAATCACACTATGAATAAGTGAGTAAGTAAAGGTGAACAATACGTGTCCCAGGAGTAGATGGTCAATGAGGGACCAAGCACTTTGGGTAATAACCTTGAATGCAAGGTAACATGGGCCAAATTTTATAAAGGAAGAGAGGAGTCATGCCTGACAGGAACAGAGTGAGACAGAGACACTGAAGAAAATCCGACCTGGTCCTTAAGAGCTTTGCAAATATGATGAGAAGGTGGAGACAGGTAAAAGGACAAAGTGAACCAATTGGCACAGGAATCCATGTGAGGCTGTGAATACGTAGGAGAGGCAGGGACAGATGGCAATGAGAGGGACGTGGCAAAGTTTAACCGGAGTGGGAGATAGGAGGTTAGAGCCAGGAGGATTAGACAATGTGGGGTAGTGGAAAGGTAGAAGGAACCGTACATGCAAGGACTCAAAGCTGAGAGAAGAGGGGTCCATGTGGAGAGGGGGAGAAGGCCAGTGCGGCTGGTCCACAGGGCAGGAAAAAGACTGATGGGCCACAGAACGCGGACTTGCTCCTCTATTGAGTGGGACCAAACAACAGCACTGAGACTCCAGGTTGGCTCGAACATAGTTCTCCTGGGAAGCTGGTCTGGCAGGATTGATCCAGGGTGGAAAGTGGAGGCAAGAGTGTGAAGTGGACGCTGTGGTCAGTGAGGCAGGACAGGGTGAACAGAGAGCCAGATAGTTTTATTTATAAGGAAGATCACACCATATGTAGTGATTTTCCCACATGAGAAGGGAGGAATGGACTTGGGAAAATTCACATCACTCACCCAGGTGATTGTACCCCTGACCGGGTCCTTTTCATCCATTCTCTTTGATCGTCTAGCTGCTTGAGTCCTCCGGGCCTTCACACTAAGGGAAGAAACCAGCACATTGCAGCTAGCAGGGCTCAGGCACTGTGAGTAGACTGCCCACGTCTCCCACCCCATAAGGTGGTGAAAATGATGACAGGTATCCAGGCCTAGGGACCCAACTCAGAGACCTTCTTGACATGTGAGAGCAGACTCCACCTTCCTGGATAACCTGAATCTCCATCACTAAAGACCTCTCTTACTTTCAAAACTTGCACACGTGTGATCACAGCAATGCTATTCACAACAGCCAGGAAGCGAACACAACACAAGTGTGCACTAGTAAATGAGAACGGACAAGTGAAATACGCTTCAGCCTGGGAAACATAACGCTGAGTGAAAGTGGAAAAGAAGACGACAGACACTGCATGATTTCATTGGCAGGAAACATCTAGAAGAAGCCAATCTAGAGAGAAGGTTCTAGGCTAGCACTGGGGGAAGCAGGGATGTGGCCACCGAGGGGTGAAGGGTTTCTTTCTCACTTGGGACCAATGAAAAATTCTGAGCAGCTGCAGTGCAGACCCTCATTCTGAACAATGATTCTGAAATCATTGTGGAAATGGGATCATGTCTCTGACTATATCCAAAGTCACTGAGTTACACACTTTCAATGGATGAATTCTACAGTATGGGCAGTGTTTCTTAATCTGTCAGGTAAAAGACAAAAGACCCCAGCGGATATATTCAGCTCTGCATTTCTAGGATTCAGTGAGCTTTCTCCTCTGCCCTACCACACACTTCTGCATCCTTGTAGTGAACTCTTATAATTCTGTGTGTCCTGGGCATCCACTCTGAGCATGGTGCACTTTCCCGTGTTGGAAACAGGCTCAGCCACCACTGACACAGTTTATAGTTCTGCATCACCACAAGTTCCCCAGTGTGGCCCATCTAGGTATCTACCTCATACCCTTTTCTCCTGGTGACCACCTGCTTGTGGGACAGCCATGTACAGCCCCCCTTAGGGGCCCTGCTGATTGGTGCATGCTTGGACTGTGCTGATCTACTGTTGTGACCACCTCCCAGTCATAGTGTGACTTTCTGAATCTCATGCCCGCCTGCTTTAAGCCACCAATCAAACCTCCCTGCTGCAAATCTGTTTGGAAAATGCCCTGCATCCCAATACAGGCTTTGTGCCAGGGGTCCCTTCCTCTCTTGGTCTTTGCATGGGCTCCCTGACCTCCCGTGTGCAGCCTCCCAGAGTGCCGTGCAGCTCCCAGAACCTGTGAGTAATACAATCTTTATTTCCTCTAATCATGGGTGGAACGCTCTCCATCATAAGATCCTAAATCATAACACTTCCTTTAGGGCCAAGACTCACATGCAAAAGAAGATGAGGAACAGACTCAGACAGAGCAGGACCATGGCACCAGCACCTCCAAGGGCTCCAACTACAGCTCCTGTCCCAGGTTCTGATTTCCCTTAGAAGAGAGGGTGGTGACAGATTTATTCGCAGGACTGTCTCTTGTCATCCTGCCTTCATGCAGACTTCACTTCAAGTCTCTTCTCACCTAGGAGACTGAGCACCCTGTTCTCCCAGGCAGCTTGGTCTGGACTCCAGCCCCACTCTCGGCCCATCCATCCTTCTGAGAGCCACATGCCCCACCCCACAGCTGTCACCTCTCTTCCTTCACCACCCTCTCCCCCTGCAGACCTGGGCCCCTGACCTGGCAACAGCAGGACAGTGGCCCTCTGGGCTCCACGCACATTCCAGGATTCGCAGCTGAGCCTGAGGTCAGAGTTGAGTCCCTCACGGAGGGTCAGGGAGCTGTTGGCCCAGGGCCCGGCAGAGCTGGAGGAGACCGTGAAGGAGGCGTTGCTGCTGTTCCCCACCAGCAGCTTCTCCCTGAGCCACCAGCCCAGGGATGGTGCAGGCCAAGCACGGGAGGAGCAGCTGCAGTGCAGACCCTCAGCCTCCTGGGAGCACCAGGGCCCCAGCAGCTGGGGGGCACCTGTAGGAGGGAGGAGGAGGGTCACAGGTACCTTCTCCTCCAGGATCCAGGTGTCCTACCCCGAAACCCTCATACTCACAAAACATGGTGAGGCTCACAGAAGCATTTAGGGAGCCTCGTGCATTCTGAGCTCGGCAGGTGAAGCTTGCTCTTTCTGCATTCCCTACACAAGGCAGCTCCAGGATCCCAGTACTGGAGATACGGGAGTCATTCAGGTCAGAAGATCCCCAGAACCAGCTCAGTTGTGCAGGAGGGTAGCTGTCCACAGCACAGGTCAGCTGTAGAGGCTGGCTCTCGATGAGGGAAAGGGATGAGGCATTTTGTGGAATCTGGAGGACTTAGGAGTAAGGGGGAAAGAGAAAGAAGGAGAGAGAATGAATGGGCAGGAGGGGCTATAGTTTCCAGCTTTTCTCCTCCTGGGGTCTGATGCTCCTTCCTCTTCTCTCTTTCCTTGGCCCATCTGAATTGGTTCTCTCTTAGTTCTCAAAGACTGGGCCTTTACAACATCAGGATGTTGATTAAAGACTAGGCTTTGCATCATCAGAGGAGGATCAAAATATCACTGGGACTTTCTGGGACTATATGGCAGACAGAAAACAGAGCAGCAAAATGGTTTGCAAAATTTGTCACAGCAGGAAATAAACTAAGAGAGGCAGGAAAATCACACAGCCAAGCCATGCAAAGGTGAAATGGGCATACATTTGAGTTTGCTGACCCTGGTAAGAAAATGAATCATGGAAAAGGTGGGGGATGGGCACATAAAAGTCTCCTTCCTTTGAGCAGAGTATGTGTCTGTGCATCTCGGTGTGTATAGGTGCATGTGTACATGGTGTATACAGGATATGGAGGGACACAGGGTGACAATTCTTGTCCTTCCTCCTTCCCATCTGCCTCATTCATACTCTGATGCCTCATTGCCCTTCAAGGAGTCCCAGGCCCAGAGAAATAGGCTCTTTCCTACCTGTGCCATTTCTGAAGAAGAGGAGGATGCTGAGGTTCTGTGGAGCATCTGGAGACAAAGACATGGCCTTACTTCAGGTTATCAGTGGGGCAGAGCACGTCCTGGAGGTACCCAGGGAGGTCATAGAAATGGAAGATGGGGATGCTGTCTTTCTGACCTCCTCACCAGAAAAGCAAAGTTCAGGTCCATCTGGTTTTCCCAGGTCATTTTTTGCCTCTCTCCTCCTCTCCCCTACACACACAAACACACACACACAACAGACATCTTTCCCAGCACTCACAGGAGACACTGAGCCTGCTGGTACTTTCTGTGGTCACCTGAGATCCTCTGAGTTTTACCCGGCAGGTGAGATTGGTGTTGTGGTCCTGGGGCCGTGGGGTGAGAGTGAGCACAGAGGAATACAGGCTCCCAGGGTCTTTGAACTGCAGGGCATCCCCCAACCAGGAGAAGGTGAGGGGTTGCCCCCCCTGGCAGGATCCTGGCAGGCTGCAGCTCAAGTGAGTGGGACGGCCGGACTCCAGAGGCTCAGGAATGTGCAGAACAGGTTTCTCTGTGAGGGCTGAAGAGGAGACAGGGAGGTGCGTGAGCCCAGGGTGGGATCCAGGGTGACCCTGACAGTGCCTGGTGCCTCAGGGTCCAAGTGGGTACAGGTCCCGTGTTCCTTTGACCTCCCTAGCCCCATGACCAGAATAGCAGAGGGTCTAACTAACATCCAGTTCCTGCTCTCATGTGGGGGTTCAGGACCTGAGGTGACCTCCTGAGAACTCTGCCTACCTGTCACCTGCAAATTCAGTGGACTATCTACATAAACATGTGTTTGAATTTCTTCGTAATATCTTTGCTCCTTTTGCTCTATTCTGAAGACATAGGTTCCTGTGTCCTCCATTTTGGCGCCTCTGATGCTGAGGGAGCAGTTGCGGGTCCAGATGTTCCCAAGAAGTTGAAATCGGTCTTTGATCTCTTTCTGTAGTGCATGCCTTTGGTTGTTTGTGGCCACAGGATAATCACCGTATGGGGTGTATTGGACCCGGAGCCAGGACATGTAGAACTGTCCAAAAGAAGGCCACGCATGGTAGGGGTAGGAGAAGGAGCAGGGCACCAGGACACACAGGCCCTCCTGCACCGTCACAGACTTCTGGACTTGCAGCTTGTACGGTCCTCCATACTGCTGCAGGGACCCTGGGGGGACACAGAAGCTCAGCTGCAGCCCGACCCTCAGCCCTGCTGACCCCCCTTCCTCACTCACTCACCAGCCCACAGCAGGGGTAGCAGCAGCACTGTTGCCAGCATCTTGCCTGTGGCAGGCTTAGATCCAGTTTGCTTCCTGTCAGGGAAGCTTTGCCCCACTGTGGGCGGGGCCAAGGAAACTGAACCGGAAGTGGGTAGTGAGGGAAAGCTGTGGCCACCTCCAAAGGGGAACTGGTGCTAAGGACCAATGTCAGTGACATGGTTGGGGGAACTCAACTGTCCCCACCCTCCCCAGGCATCATAGGTGACGAGTGAGGTTTCCAATGACCAAAGTTTGTGGGAAGAGGCTTCCTACCAAATGATGCTGAGGTCACCAGTAAGTGCAACAAAGGAGTGAGCGTTGAAAACAGGGGAGTCTGTCCTGTGGTTTGGTGAGATGCATGTCAGCTCCACCCTCTGGCTGATTAACCCCCCAATATTCTGGGAAACATGTTTTAAATCTTCCTTAAATTAATTAAATGTTGCTCAGAGAGAAAGCACTTTTTAAACCCAAATTATGGAGCTGAAATATGAGGTCTCATGGAAGGGTGTGAGCACCATTCCCCCGAGGGAGTATTATGGTTTATACACTGTGTCAACTTGAAAAGTTTAGAAGCTTAAGTAAGTGACTCAGCAGCTCTATATCCTGGGGTTCAGAAAACAAGCAGTTACCCCCTAGGATACTGTTGGTAGTGTCACTTTGAGAACTTAAAGTGATTTAGCAGGGGCCAGGGTCCCAGGTTTGTAACATCCTCACCCTGTGCAAGAGAAAGGTAGGTAGATGGTGTGGGTGTTACACCCACCCCAGCAGAGCAACCTTAGTACAATAAAAGGCAAACGAGAAGGGACTGATTCCTTGATCTTCAGTGGAGCTCCAGTCTTTTCCTTCAGCTTGGATACTGTCTCCTGGCTTCTGGCGCAGACTGTTCGGCTTCTGTCTGGGACTCTTCAGCCTTCATTGTAGAGTCTTCCGTGTTCCATGACAGACCCTCCTGATAAGCCTCCTGATAAGGACTTTCACAGGACACTGCAATAAGCTCCAGCCCTTGGGCTGGACCCTTGAAATGTAGCACACAGACACAATCGGCACTCTCCCTTGTTCAACTTTGTGGCTGACAATTATAAGCCCATCTTGGAATTTCTTGTACAGCTGTATATCTTACGTTATCTATTTCTCTAATAAATCCTGACTGATACAGGGTATTTGGATAAGATGACACTCTCACTGTCATGCTGGTCAGATGGAGGTGAGGTCCAGACCACAGAGGGTGCCAGAAAAGCACAGGACAAATTTGTCACTAGGAACCTCATGAAGTTCAGCTTTAGGGCCCTTCCCATGTACAGTCCACTCAGTTCCCTGGTAAGAACCTGCGAGATGACTGGAAATAACCTATCATCTTACTGATTTGTTTGTGAGAGTAACTTAATAAAGATTTCTTCAAATTTAATTCTGATAATGAGTTAATTGAGAGTAAAGAAAACTTCTTGACTTATGAGTGACTAAAAGAAATTTCAATCAGCCACGCATGATGAAATGTTGACTCATATGTATATTCAAACATGCAAATGTTACACTTTGAAAGTGTTACCTGTAGAAAGGTAACCAAAGAGAATCAGTCAAAATTATGAGTGGAAAGCATGTCAGTATACTAGACATAGCCTACACTATTAATAAAAATTTTCCTATTTTCTGAGTGCCTTTGTTTATTTTTTGCTTTTCAGAAAATTAGAGCTTATGATTTTGATATGATGTGTTTTCTAATAAGAATTAGGGAACAAATTTTATAGTTTTTCTAAAGATTGAAAAACACTCTCCTTGACTAGATTTTAGACAGCCTGCTCTGATCACTTTTATAACTAGTATCACTTTCATCACTGTGATAGTCTTGAGTCTTATTCTAATACTCCCCAGTAGTCTTCTTTCCCCTATTAACTAACGTTGAGTGATTTTTCTTTCATAAAAGTATAAATTTTGGGCCGAAGATTTAGCTCAGTGCCAGGTGTCTGCTTGGGAAGCACGAGGTCATGAGTATGGTCCACTATAAAAAATTATAGATGTTAGGCTCACCAAAACATACGTTTGCCCTACCTGAGTGTTCAGGCAACAAAGAAGCAAAGACATGCACTTTACAGGTAAGATTGTCTTTGGTAAATAAGGACTAAAAAAAGGAACAAGTGTGGCATAGATTGGATTCACATGGCTGTGCAGCACTAAATCACAGCTCTGCGGGATCTAGCAAACCTCAGTTGTGTGCTAAGAGCCATCCAAGACTTCAGCCCTGTGGTGACTTTGTGTTCCATCAGCCTCTGACACACAAGTAAGAAAATTCTTGAGTTCAACCTTTCCAGATGAAATATGTAGTATGATTTCTGTTCTCAATTTGGTCCTTTACTCAGTAAATATGAAGAAATCCAAAATTGAAAGTATTGCCTTCATGATCAAACACATAGCAAGTAGGAATGAAAGAATAATTTTTTAAAAATTTTATTTAAGGAGAAAAAGAAAAAAATCAGAAAAAGAGTACAAGTTATACAGAATTTCAGAAAAAAAATAAACAGTAGGAAATCACTAATTAATAGATTACATATTGTCATCTTAGAAGTATTTGTTCAAGTTACAAAATTAAAGCATATAAAGTGGACATTCAAACAGTGAGACTGCAAACAGTTCTGTTCAATGATCCAATGAAACTCAGTAATATCGTTACCTATCTTATACACTTAAATATACATGCAGTTATATCGTTTAGAGCACTTTCTTTTCCTCTCTTTTGTACAATGACAATTACACATTTTGGGTTTTATTACTCCTACAGTTCTTATTACTTTTTTTTTGAAGAGAGTAAAACCAAATGTGACATAACAGAACAGAGTCAGTCAAATCAAAAGGAGGGACATAATATATAATATAAAAACATGATACAAGGTGATCAACAATGATTACCATAGTGCCTCTTGCTATCTTAAAAAGAATTACCTATATCATCAGTTATAATAAAATTGAACAAAACAGTAAAGAATAAAACCAATAAAATCAAAACATTGGAGACATTACAGGTCTTCAAAAGAAGATAATAGTCAACCAGAATGGGCGTCATAATGAATCTTATTATCTTCACAGCTGCTGCCTATACTTTTGAACTTGGTACTATCAAGCAAAACAGAGTAGAGGAAAGTCAGTCAAAACAAGATGGTGAGAGCAATACAGGGTTTCAAATCAAGTTAATAGGAAATCAAAGTGGGTTACTATAATATATCCTGCTATTTTGTATTTATTTTTCCCTTAATTAAAAGCATAAAAATAAAAAAGGAAATAATAAAATAGAGATTGAGATAAAAGAGGGCATAACAACAAAACAGCGCAGGTCAAAACATAGCCATTTAAGCAAAATAGTGTTTCACCACAAGACAATCTCGACATAGAAGTAGTTACCATATTGTCTCTTTCCTTGAAATCTTTGAGTATAACTTCGTATACTATAGCATCAAACATATCAAAACTATGTAAAACCATTCAAGGGAATGACATTATTACAGGGTATTCAGAATCAACTAACAGAAAATGAACAATGGTTTCTGTATAATCTCCTTGTCTATAAAAATTTTTGTTTATATTATCACATATAATAAAATCCAGTAAGATACAACATGTTAAGACCTATGGAGACAGAAGAACAAAAGCTTGATGGGACTTTAAAATAAGATGATATTAAATGATATTAAATCAGCACTAGCTATTATGATGTCTTGTTTTCTCCAAAATAGCTGTTCCTACCATCTCACCTTGTCTGCCTCATTTCTGGCGAGCTCTTTTTCTGTCATTAGTTGTCAGTTTTGTCTTCTTCATTTCACTTTCTGTTCCATTCATTGTGGCCTCTCTGCCACTATTTCTGGAATCTTGATATTTTTCTTTTTTAGAATATCCTGCAGTATTCTCTGTAGAGTTGAACTGATGGTTGCAATTTCCCCTAGTTCCTCTTTATCCTGGAAGCACCTTGTTTTTCCATCAATTTCTAGGAATAGTTGTGCAGGATATATCAATCTTGGCTGGAGGTTAAAGCTTGAATTATCCCCCCCCCCCGCGCTCTTCATGATTTGATGGTTTGTGCCAAGAAGTTTGCTGTAATTCTGATGGGTGTTCCCTTGTAAGTGTTCTGTTTCTTGTCTCTGACAGCTTTTAATATTCTGTTCTTATATTGGATTTCTGGAATTTTGATTATTATATGCCTGGGTGTAGCTCTGTTTGGGTTATAGGTGGCTGGGTCCTGTATGCCTCATACATCTGAGTATCTTTACCTTTTGTAAATTAGGGAAGTTCTCCTGGATTATTTCTATGAATAGCTTTTGTAGTTCATTTGTTTGTGTCCCTACCTCTTCTTTTATGTTCTTAATTCTTAAGTTATAGATCCTCTTATCATCTTCTAGCCTTTGTATTATTGCTGTTTGTTTTGTTATTTTTAAGTTTTTCCTTTCATGCTCCCACCTTGCAAATCTGTCCTCCAGTTCAGATAACCTATCCTTAGTTTCTTTCAAGTGGTTATGCCAGCTTTCAATAGAGTTTTTAGTTTCCTGGTAATCTCTTTGAATCTGCTTCACGTATTCTATCTTTTCTCTATTTTCTCCATCAAATAATTCTCCCCTTTTTTTCTGTTCTTCCATTCAACCATCTGTTTTTTCTTGGGCAGTGCTTAGCATTTCTCTAACTATTCTACTTATATCTTGCTTTATTTCATTAAATGCTTCACTTTTGAACTCATCTATGAGGCTCTGGAGATATCGCTTTATGTCTATTGGTGCCATGCCTGATATTGCATGTTTTCTGTCCTCATTATCCTTTGTATTTACCTTTCCTGGATCAGTGTTCTCAGGATTGGGGGCTGAGGACCCTTTCTTGTTGCTCCCTCTTTCCATATTTTTTGTTTCTTCCATACAAATGTAAATAGGAGGCACAGGTTTTTTTTTCTTTGTCAATTACAGTTTGTTTGAATCTGCCAGCTAGGTGTTCCCACCCACTGCAATGTGCTAGGGAGACACAGACCTGGGCAGCCTCTGCTGGGCCCGCCCCTCCAGGTCAGTCAAGCTACTAAAGGCTTCACTGCGAGGGTGCACCTCCAGGCACTGGGACCTGGTTTAGG